GAGAGTGCGCAGGGTGCATGGGGGTGCACAGGGTGCGTGGGAGTGCACAGGGTGCGTGAGAGTGCTCAGGGTGCGTAAGAGTGAGCAGGGGTATGTGGGAGTGCCTTAGGTTGAGGTAGAAAGAATGAGTGCAAAGGAGTAACGTTATATGTAGAATGAATTGCTTATGATACTTGGGGTACACAAGTTGTAGTAATGAATGCACGTGCTTGCATGTATGCATAAATCTTGCATATATTAATGAATTATATTTGCATATATGGGAAAATACCATGCTCCCGTTACCAGGTTTTCAGAGGTTTGACAATTTGACAATGATGTGAGGTCAAAGGTCAACCTCATGTTCATGCCTGCAGGTTTCATCCTGTTTTTGCCTAAATTATGATAATGAGCTGGAATTTTTAACACTTAATCATGCCAAAATAAACTTCTTAATATGTTTAACCAATATATGTGCAAAGGTCACTGAAAGGATGAAAAAAGGAATATAAATTTGAAAGAAACCAAATGGGGTCCATTTGGACCCCGTTCGGGCATTAACGTCACAAAAAAAGTTCGGGTGTTTGAGGGTTAAGTCGACGATCACTCCAGCATGTCGAAGTTAGTGGCCGTAATCCGTGATTCAAAATCGACCTGGAAGTACATCTGATAAATGCCAGAACCATAACACGGAAACCCCCATGCAGTGCGAAATCACACGAAAATCTACGCCGAAATGAGGCATAAGGAAGCATTTTGAAGGTCAATTTTGACTCTAAATATCTCGTCTTTCAATGATTTTTTAGTCCTCAAAGGCACTGTAGGAGCTTGGGCAACTTGTCTCGATAACGAAGAGCCATTTTTATGCTCGATCTGGCCTATTTTGACTTTACTATTGAGTTTTTCCAGACCATGTCTTATGCCTCAAATCGGCGCGTCACATTTTATCAGGGGACGCCATGTTTTCATCTTTACGGCTAGATGGTGTGATCTGAAAACAAAGGTCCAACTTAAGTTAAATCCGTTTCTAATCAGACATGTTTGAAACACGCCAAAATTAGTAAATGGTGAGATCTGCCCCCCAAAATGTCCTTAGAACGTCACATGATGGCAACATTAGGGGGGGAAAAGAGCTACATAACTACTGAATTTTATAACGTGATTTCTTATACAAACAAATACAAAACTAAATAGGGCTAAAAAGGCCTGACCAGGGCTAAATGAACAATAGATATAAACTCCTTAGATTTTACTTTATGTTAGTAAATGTGTACACGACGAATAAATCTGGATCTCATCAACTAATAAACTAATTTGACTTACCATTGCTTAAATCGCACCCATAACTATCTATATCTATTTAATCATTTTTGATGAAATCTCTTGTTTTGTCATCTACATGTATACAGTATTTATTCTATATTAGCACTATCTATAGACCTGAACAACATTATCATGCAGGTGATGATTCGATGTTTATGTGGAAGTGTTTCTGCTCTAAAAGTGTTTTTCTTCCAACCAGAGAATAGGCTGTACTATTCCGATGAAGACGCAATCTACAGCTCAGACATGCTCGGCAACAATACACAACTTGTTAAGCCTGGAGACGGGAAAGGTGTCGGATGGATAGCGGTTGGTGCTGATTACATCTACTGGACACATTACTTGACTGGTGAAGTCATAAGGCAAGAAAATCCGCTTCATATATTTTAACTCTCTGGTAGGAATTGTAGTTATCATGGAGAATTTAGAACGACTGTGAATGTAATTGTAGTTGAACAGGTATTGCCTTTTCCCTTTAGTATCGAACCCATGTAACAATTTGCTGACATGACGTTATGTATCACAACTCCAGGTTATCCAAGTCCAGCAGGAATCAGACTGTTCTGGTTGATGGCCTGGATCATCCACGGGGTATCTTCCTGTCCACCGCTCCGCCTCCTAACGTCACCAATGGTAATTACCTTTACCAGAAAGGTTATATTCCCGGTGGCATGTACGTGTGTTTGTAACAGTGGTACTGTCAGTGTTATTTTTAATTAGGCCACAGCAAGTAAATTTTATAGATGACATCCTCCACAGATTCCAAATGTAATGCGAGCAGGGCCGAAAAAAAAACAAGGTTCTTACATTTTGAAATTTTGACTCAATCATTGTACAAATGGTTTTGATTCAATGGGAACATCACATATACACAGCCAACATCACATATCACTGCATCAAAGTAAGAAACAAAACATAAAATCAGAGCCTTGTCTTGTCTCCTCTCTTTATAGTTATCTGCCATCCAGCTTCCGGCATGGCAACAGACATCTTGGCCTATTTTCGGCATGGTGACCACTGTCAGAAGGCAACAAAATTTCTTGTTTTTTCCAAAATCAGGCGAAAATTAATGCGCGCGCTGATGTCATCCATAAAAATTACTTGCTGTGGCCTTAGCATAGTATTACTACCTTAACAAGAATTTGGAGATCTCATACCTCCATCAAATATGGTTAGCTCAACACAAAGTACATATATTTGATACGTAATTGTGAAAGTTCATTCCTCTGGAAATCTTTCATTTCAATATGTCATCAGTAATTAAGCACATGATCTCTACATTAATTTACATTTTATACATTTGTGTGATAATATATAGCTTGGGAAGTTGACAATTAGGAATTATGATAATTGGGATGTAATCGCCGTAACGAAGGTAGTAAATGTACATTTCATCGGTGCAATATGAAGATGAGTTATTTCTTGTTGACATGTCCAAATTATACACTACCAAAAATGATTTTCTTCTTTTTCTTAATCCATATACAAATTTTATGCATTTGTGTGGTAATAGCTTGGGAAGTTGTGAATTAGGGGTCATAATAATTGGGATATAATCACCGTATTAAAGGTGGTAAATGTACATTTCATCGGTGCAATATAAAGATAAGTACCATTTCTTATTGACATGTCGAAATAATGGATGAGAAATTAGATAATCAAATGTCCGAGTACGAGTGTGACATACACAAGACAAGCAGAGAGACGCCCATGCTCTTATGCTACGTCCTGACCTAATTATCTAAGTCAATACATCTATATACCTTTGCAAAATTAGTAAAATAGCGACTTGAGTGTATTATGTAGCATACAATTCATCACTGTGTCTTAATCTATTTATTAATTTATGTGCAGATTTTACCAGAAGAATTACAAAACTAAAACCATATACCTCAAAGTTTATAATGTACCTGCTATCCATAATGTTAGCCAATGAAATCGACATGTAACTTGTACTATTTTAAAGTAATTATCTGGTAGTCTTATTATAACAACGCTTTAACCCTTTTTAGACCGGGGATGGCTTTTGACGACCGCGCCAACTTTAACTCTCACGTAGTGCCTGGATGGCATTCCCTAGAACCGTTGAATTTGGTAATTTTTCCTTAAAATTATTGGCAACAATTTCATATTGATTAGGTAAGTTAATGAAGTTTCGTGTTGCCATGGCAATGGGTTTCTGACTGGCATTTTTTAATGACATATTCATGATTTATGACGTCATGCGTCAAAATTTATGACGTCATGCGTTAAAATTCATGATGGTGGAACATAACATTAGATCTGGTGTAACCACGTTTTTGTCATTAATTTTTTATCACAACTCCATTTTTTTTACATAAACCGCCCATATGAACATCTGTAGAATAGTCCATTTACATTGCGTTTTGTTGCTTTATCTTGAAAAAAAATTAAGTGCGCGGGGCGTGGTTCTCCCAAAAAGTAAAGGCAGTAAGTTCAAAAATTCAAGATTGACGAAACAAGGTGGCCGACCGCTTAAATACGCCCCAAAAATCACATAAATGACATCATATTGACGTCATATGACGCCATAGTTCCACCAAAGTTGTCGTTTTGTTTTGATTTTAGAACTACACCATTCTCTGAAAATTTAGTGACCATACGATACGTGGCTGTTGAGTTACAGGGGGTGGACCTTAAAACCCCCACACCCCGGTCGCAGCACGACGAAAAAGCCTGGTCTGAATAGGGTTAAATAGTCAGTAGTCCTGTACAACTCTTTTCCTAACTTTGTGCCTGTTATAATTTTTGTGCTAAAAACATTGACTTTGACTTGACTTGAATAAATGTGGATGGGTAGATGCGGAGAAACTTCAATGAAAATCACACATTACAAATCAGGACACAATGTACGAAGTAACAAACAATAATAATGTGTTAAAGCCCCGCCCCGAGATAATCACTGGTATAACCACCGGATAAACCACAGAGTGAGCGTGGACGAGGGATTATCTCACTCTAGCCTATCTAACTAAAACAGTTATTTGACACAAATTCCTGTTTGAAATTCCTTCATTGCTGAAAAATTTCTCTATTGCCGAAAGAAAAAAATGGCATGGACAAAAAGAGATCATCTGAGGTCACCAAGTTACATTGGGACAGTAACCTTTTTAGTGGGGGTGTCAAAAGCGTTTAGTCCTTTTCTGCTAAAATATCATTTATATATTTTTATTGCAACTATATATAATAAACTACACAACGTTTTATAAAAGATAAATATTACAAGTCGTAACACTACTGTTATTGTCCTGTGCTCTGTATAATGGTACGGTCCAAAATGGGTCGGTAATTGAACAAAACGACCAATGTTAAGGTTTTGGCCTGATAACAGATGTGAAATGGAGCCTTCTGATTGGTCGACACCATCTGCCTATATGATAATAAGTAATAAGTTAATAAGTGATACATAAATAACCTAATATGAATAGCCCCAACAGGCTAATTATGGATAGTGCAGTACCCATTTGGTTAATGATTGTTAATGATTAATGCTTATAGATAGTTTTAAATAGTTATTATCGATTTGTGTGTTCGTTGTTGATGTTTTGATGTATTAGTGTATTTTTAATTGTACGTCGATGAAGGTTAGACATCCAGGTAATACGATATGCCAAAAAACAGTTACTCAAGCAACTGGATATGATTTTGAAAACGTCAGACGTTTCAGCTAGTATCCACTAGCTTTCGTCAGTGACTGAGAGACCAGAGGGGAAAGCAGGTTTATATACACAACCTGTTGATTGATATGCAAATAAAGTGAAGACAAATTTTTGGAAGTCGAAAAAGGAACAAAAGTCAGACAAGTCAAGACAAGATGATGCAAATTAGTCTGAAAGCTCCTGTTATACAGGACAGGAGCTTAAGTGTTGTCTGTCCTCGGGGCTGGGAGTGCCAAATCTCAAGTGCCGGAAAGATCGACCCGTAGCCCCCCTTCCCTGTTGAGGGTGGGGTTGTACATTCTTTCATATATATTTCAGACTAATTTGCATCATCTTGTCTTGACTTGTCTGACTTTTGTTCCTTTTTCGACTTCCAAAAATTTGTCCTCACTTTATTTGCATATCAATCAACAGGTTGTGTATATAAACCTGCTTTCCCCTCTGGTCTCTCAGTCACTGACGAAAGCTAGTGGATACTAGCTGAAACGTCTGACGTTTTCAAAATCATATCCAGTTGCTTGAGTAACTGTTTTTTGGCATATTTAACCTCCATGTAAATGGGGGGTATTGTTTTTACTCCGTTTCATGTTTGGTCTGATATCTGAAGATCGGTGAGAAGGAACTGTATGATATTTGGCAGATTGATTGATGGGGCCTTGGAGATTGTGTAGGTTGACTTTGAGCACCTGGTGATTGACCTTGGTACTGCAGTTTAATTTTTTTTATTCTATTGTTGGCACGTTATGGTCCATGTGTGCGATGCTAAGGTAGCATGTAGTTGTGGTTACAATAGTTTAGTGATGTAAATTTGGGCCCCCTAGCTGTTTGCTTTGAACCGGAATTGCTATCTCAATGTCAGATTGTTTGCGTTGAATGATCTCAGAACCCGGTGGATGGTTGGCGATCATTTTTGGTATGTGGGTAGACGCTGATTGTCTTTGCGTTTTAGCGTGCATTAGCAGGTTGTCGAAGATTTGCATTGCTTATTTAAAAGGATTTTCACATTTTTACCCCTATTTCATAATAGGATGGTCTGTTTGACCCCAAATTGGTACAGAGTGTTTTTGTTTATACCTCCAGCTGGCAGGTCAGGCCAATCTATTTTTACCTCTAGACCGCATCTGCAGGAAATATATCTTATCTTTAATCGGTCATTCAGCAGGGAACTGGGTCATCTGTGGTTTGTTAATATGTAACAATGTGCTTGAGAGGTCATTGACCTCAAACAAACCATGGTAACAAGACACTAAACGCCTGCACATGACAGCTTGGGCAACCCCTTCCAATACGAAGTGCCACAACAAAATTCTTAAAGGATAGACATCTATAGACATCTATCATTCTGCTGATAAAAACAAAGTTTGACTCATAATATCTCTATTAAAATACACCAAAAGATTACAAAATAACAAGCTATTTCATGGAGGGACGATGTCTACGACTTTATCTTGTTTTAAATGTATTTACTGTATTTTCCATGGATGTGATTATGTAATTGCAATTTTTGAGACTTGGAAGATTAGCCCCGCAGGGCTAAAGGCTTCAAAATAATTTAAATAAAATGAAATGATTGGGTTACATTGACATGAGCAATAATGGCCTAAACATTTATATATTGTGCAAAAATAGCTTTCATTGTTGATAACAATACATGTAGCTAGTGAATATATACTTAGCTGTTATAACCTCTGCTAACTTAAGCTGTCAAAATATATTTTTACAAAAACCTTGCAATCTGTGTCAACTATCACTATCACTATCAACTTACTTTTACCACTTGACTGTTTGATCATTTATTTTTACACAATCATATCTGGAATCTTAACTTGCTCATGTATCCGCATGTCAGCCTGTTCCTCGTCCAATGGAGGATGTCGGGAGCTTTGCCTTGCGCATCCGGGAGGGAGAACGTGCGCCTGTCGGGATTCCTGGGAACTGCAGGAGGATGGACTGATCTGTGAGTTGAATATCGTCTGGTGCCTCGTCTTAAAAACAAAACCGACCAATCAGTTGTCACGTATTAGTATAACGTAGGCTTTAATGTTTTGCATCCGGGATTACGTTAATACGCTAAAGTAGTCCCCGCCATGTACAATTTTGTGGATTCTGTAGTTTAGTTTATAAAGGAATATTCAGATAGATTGCACCATTCGACCAATAAGTCTCTGATGCCCCGGAGCATCTAAAATGATTTCTTTTATCTCATAATGTAAAAAAAATACATACTTGTGAAAAATATCTCAACCAGAGTCAGTGTACTTATTGAAAGTACAATAAATTTCTTGAGAGGGTAGATTGCACGTGCTTGCGTTGAAGATGCAAAGGTACTTCAAATTAAAGTTCATGTTGTTACTCCAGCGTGGGACTTAGTGTACAAGTAGTTAACTAGCAAAGTCTCAATGTCAAATGAAAGGCCCAGTTATACCGCTTTGTATCATATTGCTACAGGCTGTCCCTCTGGCTATACTGCATACGGGGGTGCGTGCTTTAAGGCGTACAACGAAGACAAAACCTACAGCCAGGCCAGAGAGGTGTGTGCAGCGGACGGGGCGCTCCTGGCCATGCCGAAGGACAAAGACGTGGACAACTTCGTGAGAGACCTGAAGAACGCCGTGAATAAAATCTCACATTTCTGGTTTGGTCTAAATGATGAGAACAGTGATAGTGAGTGGGTGTGGGAAGACGGGACTCCACACGACATCAGTACCGACTGGAACCTCTGGCAGCCGGGAGAACCCTACGGTAACGAGGGAGAAAACTGCGCGAACTACTATGGATCAGGGTGGAATGACGCACCGTGCTCCTCTGCTTACAAGTTTATCTGCCAGATGAATGAAGGTATGTCAAATAATGTTCTTTGATATTAACATCATCAAAATTACAGTTCCTTTATTGCACTCGTAAAGAATTTATCAAATGCACGTCTTATGTTTATTGTATTTGTCAGTTTGTTTTATTTGCCTTGTACTTAGGGTAACCGTTGTTCACTTAGAATCAGACGATTCTAAATTATGTTACTCCTCACATACATGTGGTTATATCAAAATAATATAAATAGATAAATATGTCTTCTTCAAAATTTAAGCCCTTTCCCCACTAGGATGTTTTTACCTGTAGTATCTTATCGTATCATATCGCATCGTATCGAATTTCTGATTCGGATCGCGTTTACAAATACAGGGAAGTTACAGCTGGCTTGATCCCTCGCCTGTGTTCCCACTCAAGCCGGTCAGAGCCGGATAAGCTGCAGTTTCACGAAAAAAACCCTGCTATGTGCCCCTCATTGAAGGTTAGGGGTTGAACATGGCGGGCGTATTTCTTATGGCCATTTATCTCTTGAAAATGGTGTGCTGGAAGTATTGAGTAGAATATAATCTCCAAACTGTTCGTATGTTGACCCTGTGAACATAGAAGCATGACGTTACCAAGCCTATCAACCAAGCCGGTTTGATCCGGTGAGCGTTTCATCACAGACGACTTGTAGGGTTAATCCGGCTCGATCGGGATTATATCAATCTCGCAAAGTTGATTGTTGAAGATCCGGATCAAGTGGAATCGAACCGGAACAGGAGTGTTCAAACTGTGGTCAACTAGGCCCCAATCCCACAAGGGTAAAATTGTCCGGATCGAGCCGTATGTATTTGGTTTGATCCGGTTTCGATCCGGCATTGATCCGGCTCAATCCTGTTTTAGGGCGGCGTGAAGCTGGTTCAAAGCGAATCAATCCGGACAATTTTACCATAGTAGGAATGCAGTCGTAGTACTGATCGATTTTTGCCGTGTTTATGTGAAGTCACCCAAACCGTGATTCGGGTAACTCACATTCCTCACATACGGTCCACGTGCCACAATCTCCTTTGAAACCGTGTTCGATAAAAAATCGCTTGAGCCACATTAATTGCTGTTTGATGATGGTGGGGGGGTATTAATGTCAGAGGTCAACGACCTGCTTGCTAATGTCCCCCTCCCAGCGTATCTCGGCCGAATGCCGACGCGGTCCAGTCAGAGGCGGTGAAACTCGCTCTAGAACGGACACATTATTTGAGCATTTCTGCTCTTTAAGTTGCTGCCACGTAAAAGTTGGTATTACATACAAATAAAGAAATATCACCCCGTAATCCATGACCAGGCGAAGTTACATTGAAATCACATTGCGTTCAGACGCAAATCGCGATGCGGGAAACCGATTCGAAACCACCTCTAAAAGTGGTTAGGGATCGATCGAGGCGCTTTCAATGTGATTTGAAGCGTTCAAATGGAGCCACTTGAAACCGGCTTCGGAGTAAACCACATGTAAAGCGCCTTAGGTGACTTCACATAAACACGGCCTTTGTTAGCTATTCGGCCCCATTCGGATTTTTACGGTAGTGGGAATGGGGCCTAAAGCTATGTTTTCTTTTAGCCGTACCTTGGGTGGTATTGACGTCACCTGAGTTAGCGCCGAATGTCAGCTGCTCCAGACACTTGCAATTAAGCCCCAAGAATTGTAAGCTCCCCACAATTTAGTTCTTGGCTTCAAGGATTGAGTTTTCCGGTTCACCCAAATATAATAACTTAAGATCAAGCAGAATCTATCTAAAAACCTTAAAGCCTCATTATGTAACATTTGGACAATACAGAAAAATCTGGTAATTCATTTGAAGACCCTACTTCGGATCCATTTGTAAATAAGTGCAATTTAGAAGAGCAGGTGTGTTACGAGTGTGTTCAGCAGTTGTCAGCCAAGTATGTTTGTGGTGCACCGGTGGCAGCGCAAACTTTGCGCTTTATGTGGGCTGTTTTAGCACCAATCATACGTGTCATCAATGTGCACATGTTGTAAAGTGGAAGTAAATTACAGTCACAGAATTTTTCTTCAACTGAAAATGCAAAAATGTTGCATAAAAGTCATTTTTAAGAACTTAATGTTTCTGAACTTTCTACATGTAAAGCACTCAGCTGCTCTCTGGGACATTTCCGCTGTGGACACGGACTTGCCTGTATCCTATCGTGGAAGCGTTGTGACGGGATCGCAGACTGCACGGACGGGAGTGATGAGGAGGGCTGTGGTAAGTCACTGTTATGAGCCCATGTAGCATGTACGTGTATTAAACTTGCAGTTGTTCGTAAGTCAGTATTCCTAATGCCGAAGTCACATTTCCAACGGGGCCCGAGCTGCATGTTCCCGATCTAGACGACAGCCGGCGTCATGAAGCTGGGCGGACGCCAGCTGTCATAGTCACAATTAGATTACGACCTCGTCCCGACGTATTTTTTTCGTCCGGGTGATTCTATGTCCGGGTCCCGACCGATAGTGTCAAAAACAGGAAGGCTCGGTTTTGAATTGTGACCTAGGCATAACAGACATTATCAGATAGTCAGAAGATATCAACTAATCGGAAGGCTCCATTTTCCATTAGTTATTAGGCCGTAACTTTAAAAGTTGTTATTAAAATAACTGACCACTTTTGGACCGTACTATTGTAAAGGGAACAGGACACTAAAGTACAAGCTGCGTAAGACCGGACTGTAATGTTCGAACTACTCACATCGGGAAGGCCCCCTACTCTTTCGATAAGTGCGGTGGGTTCTCTAACGTGTGTCGCATGTGGCTCTCTGAAACACGGGGACTCCATTTAACGTCCTATCGGGGGGACGTCCCTAACCGAAGCTAGGTGCTCCTTTACACCTAAGCGAAGTAAGTAAAACCGTGCGTGAAAATTGCCTTCCCAAGGACACAAGATCGATGGCATCAAGCAGGACTCAAACCAGGGGCCACTTGGGTCTGAGCCGAGCACTCTACCGTTACGCCACATGACCCCACCAGAATAGTTACATTTGTTACATCTGTTTTCAACGTTTTTGTGCTTTTTTGTCTCTTTTCCGTTCCTCAAGACTGCGCCATGGTTTGGAAAAGTGACCTCAGCATTAGTGCTCAATTGGAGACATATAAAAATCAAGAGGATTGTATGGTTTGATAAGACTCATGCTATTTCTTTCATGACTTTTTTAATAGTTCTGAATTCGTCATTTCTCCATGTACAAAGTAACGCTAAACATGTCTTAACTAAGATGGGCAAAGTATTCCACAAAGTGGCCACTAAAGGCATGAATTTCAAAGGGTCCATGAAAAATAGAATTAAGCTAAGGAAAGAACCAAATTGTCCTTGTACACTAGTGGTAGAAAGTACAGTTTGGGATCTATGCTACAGTTACCTTTTTTGTTTAGAAAGTTTGTCTTGTTGAATGTTGTCAAGATTGCAAACATTGGAAATCTCATTATCAATTGTTTTCAACCTTTTAGAGTGCAAACCAATCCC